TTATAATTCTTTAAGATATGCTTTGATATATATTTAAGTTTTATTAATAAAAATTATTATTTAATACCTAAAAAAAGAAAACACAAAAAAGTGTCCTTTTTCATCTTCCTGACTGCGAACAAGATTATGCGCGAATTGCACGTGAATATCATGTTGATAAATTTTCCCATTATATAAAAAAATATATTTCAAAAATGAACTTTGATCACTTCCAAATAAACGGCTCATTAAATGGTTACTACATACTTGAAATAAAATTTAATAAAGAAATATCTACTTTTGAATACTTTCTGATATGATACGATCAACAGGAGGTTTACACGATACTAATTTTTTAATGTAGCCGTTACGTGTTAATTTTCCCTCGCTACAAATATTGGAGAACCCCTAAACGTTAGTCCAGAAATACTCATTGTAAATATCCCTAATAAAAATGTTCCCTATACAGGCTGTGTATTCCGAAATTGACTAGAAATCAATAATGGGTATTACGCTATCACGTGAACTTAGCTTCATGGCATGTAGCGCCACAACGCGGAATAGCTTAAACACTACCGCATGTAGTACATATTTATATTCAAATTTGGAGCGGAATTCAAATGGATTAACGCATTGAATCAACGAACCGCCACGTACTTTGTTAAAATATTCAACGTGGGTGATCAAGCGTGGGAAAGTCGAAAGTCAGGAGAGAAAAGGGAACGTTCGCTGAAAATACTTAAGGGAGTGGACTCCGTCGCCGAAAAGATCGACGCGACATAAAAACCGAACGACTACTAGAAGAAATAAATTAAGTAAAACATTTAGCCAGTAGGAGAGCTGAATGCAATTTCTGCTGTTCAAAATATGATGCTGGTAAGGTAAGGTAGGCTTTATAAGCAAACGAGACATCTGAATGTGGACAACGACAATGTATCGTTGCGAACAGCCGTCCGAGACACACTCACACATGCAACGCTCGGTAGCATTTCCGTGTACCTACGAGACTGCAAGGGCTTGCGTATTGCGATGTTACCGTTCTCACAACAGCGTCTCTCTACACTGTTGCCATTTCACTGAAGTCGAAATCGCGCTTAGCATTCCGTATCCTTACATTTGCCAACGTCGACTCTCAGTCTCTCTTCCTTCTTCATCGAACTGTTTTTTTCTACTTTCGTCGTCGCTTCGAAACTCTAGCTTTGCGCTGGACGCGGTTCGATCCCGGTAGGAGCCACTTATTTTTTTTTTACTTTTTCTTCCTTTTGTATCATTTTTTGTTATGGAAACAACCTTTTTATATATTAAGATTATTTTTATACAATATTGTGCAATTTTTATGTTTTCTATCGCATTGAAAAAGAAGTCAGGATGTGAAAGGACTTTTCTACAAGCGTTTATAAAAACTTACGTCATTATAGTTTGTAAATAACAATTTAATTATATTAAACAAACATTGCAAAAACAAAACATAACAAAACATGATACAAATGGAAGAAAAAGTAAAAAAAAAAGAACTGACTCCTAAAGGGATCGGAACCGCGTCCAGCGCAAAAGATCGACTTCGCAACCTGGCACTCCAACGACTGCGCAACGCTGCTTCTACGATACCTCCGACCCTTGTATGGTCGACACTCATCAATCGAAATTTAGCTATTTTTAAAAATTTATTTCTCGAAAACGAAAGATAGTAGCGCCTTCTCACTTGCAGAGATTGTTCTGCATACCCTTCTTTACATATGGACAAAATTTGATTAAAAAATTCGGGGAACACTAGGCGATGTCTCCCTGTGACCCCAGTCTCGTTCAAAAAGCGCTCGTCCGAATCGCAAACTTCCCTTGTGAGCTGTTGAACGTTTTTGAAGCGGTTTTTTCTCCGCGTCGTCCATAAATTATTGTAAATATGACCCGAATTGTATTATATGTGGTATCATTGTAATTAGAAAAATGTCACAAATGTAATATTGAAAGTCTCGCTTATTCGACTGGACTCTTACTTTCAGGTATCGCGGTATCACGCAGCTTATATGTAGGCATACGGACATGCCACTGGGCGTTGCATGTGTGCATGTGTCTCGGCACGGCTGCTCGCTAGCTATCATGGCCGGCATCATGCTACCGAATATTGTTAATTATGACAGAAAAGAGCAAAAGTAGAGTCGCTATGGGAGCTTGCGCTCTAGTTTGAACATTTATCTAGCGGAAACGACTATTGAGAAGTCTCGAATCTGCACTGTCAGGACATAAATAGGACAATACGGAACCCTTGCAGTCTCGTAGGCACACGGACATGCCACCGAGCGTTGCATGTGTGAATGTGTCTCGGACGGCTGCTCGTACCAACGATACATTGTCGTTGACGTCTCGCTTGCTTATAAAGCCTACCTTACCGATGGCATGTGTCTCCTTTGCTATGTGTTTCTGACTGAGTTTGCAGCGACAAATGCCGGAACTATATTTTACGTGTAACATGATAATCCTGGACAGAATGCAAGGGCTTGCGCATTGTCCTATTTATGTCTTGACAGTGCAGATTCGAGACTTCTCAATAGTCGTTTCCGCTAGATAAATGTTCAAACTAGAGCGCAAGCTCCCATAGCGATTCTACTTTTGCTGTTTTCTGTCATAATTAACAATATTCAGCAGCGTATGTTAGCTTAGACCAGGGCCGCCAAGCTACCGTATTTCGCGTTGAAGCCCGATTTAATTCGAGCTCCCGCATCTTGGCAGCGCCAGTGTCGTTACTACCACATACAACATAATCAGTGAGCCACACAAACAACAGCATGGTCCTATATATGTGTATTTGTACCTGCTTTAAAATGAAACTGAATAAGAAGTAAAGGAAGGAAAAAAAAGGTTCTACTTTATGAAATTAAATTTATTACACATAAATGTAATAAAAATATACAGTACAATATACAATAAAAAATATATATAATAAAAATATAATAAAATATATAATAAAAATATACATACGTCATATTTAAAAAATATATATAATAAAAATACAATGAAATATACAATAAAAATAGTGTAAAATGTACAATAAAAATATATAATAAAAAAATGCAATAAAATATATAATAAAAAAAATACTTAATACCTTTAAAGCATTTCCTGCTGGCTGCTTGGAGTCGACCCCTTTGGACAGTACAATATGTAATTGTAACGAAAAATGAATAGAAGCACCTTTTAAATGACACACATAATACTGAATACCTATCATAACTAAAAAAAGGAATGCAATAGAAGATAATATTATTGTAAGGTAATACACTAATCTCTGGATGAACCAGGAAGCACATTATAGGCGCCGGAGTCTCTACTGGTATCAGGATCAATGAAGCCCTTCAGTCCCACGCTGTCCTAAAGTTCCACATTGTCCTGGCATCCAAGGTGAGCACGGGTTGATCTATATTAACCTTATATAACATTGTATATACATCAAATGTTGGAGGTCTTCTCATTTACATGTAGTGTATAAATGTTATGTTTATATATTATTTTATCATATGTATATGTATAGAGATCAAAAACTTACATTCTTCTCGTTCTTCAATTTCTATCCCAATTTCTTCCTGTGGCTTGACAGATGCAGCAGGTGCTAGTTGATATTAATAGAATTCATTAAATATTTTCATTAAAAATTTTATGATATACTTTAAAAATTATTTACCGTTTTTTATCGTCCATGTCTTTAGTAAAATCGTTGAATTCCATCCAATCGTTCCAATCGTTGAATTATCGATCGCGTTCGATGGTGCGGTTAGCTTCGAAACAAGTGAAAACGTTCGTATGTTTCAGTGACCAAATAGGATATATGGAGTCAGGTGGAGTTCAAATTTTACCGGGTGCATACACCATAGAATAAACTTACACAGAATATGAACTTAATAGTACGTAAAAGAGTGACACTGGCGCCGCCAAGATGCGGGGGCCCGAATTAAATCGGGCTTCATGGTCACAAGAGTAGAGCTTGAGGGCCCTGGAAGCTAAGTTCACGTGATAGCGTAACACATACATGTCGAATTGAGTAACCTCCTCCTTTTCGAAGTCAGTTAAAAAATTTATTTACTTTTATTTAACTTTTACATCTTTTTAACGCAATTTACTTCTTTTTAACGCAATGCTATTGAAACGTAAAACGCGAAATCAAGTCGCAAATGCAATCGCGTCGCAATAGATGATTTGTTAATTATCTACAGTCAGTGTAAGAAGTATTCGTACACCAACCAATTTAAAATGAATGGTTCCTGTACGAATACTTATTACACTAAACTAACTGTATATCTTAGTTATTGAAAAAACAACTATCGGCTACGTAACGTTGAAGTTACTTAACGTAAGTGTGTGAAACTGTAATTATATAATTACTTCCAAATCACTTTCACACACAATTTCACATCCTAATTTATCCAGTTCTTATCGGCAGTTACATGCCGATTCATGATCTCACATCGCTTGGTGTATAAAAAAACATTAATCATCTTATTTCATTCAACACATTGTACAAATTAAAAGGTAAAGTGTGTTGAAGGTTACAATATTTATCGAACCTCCAAATTATACTATGCAAATTTTTACGACACCGTTGCTTATATAGATATATGCAGAACCAATTAAGACCTGTTCTGCAACATTTTGTGAAATTCTTTGTAATGACAATTTTAGAAGAATCACAAATTTATTGAAACAAAATCACTGTGTATTGAATTGATTACAGCTATGAAATATGTTCAATATGGAGACAATAGATGATCCATATCTGAGACATCTTTTCGATGGAGATGATGCATTTAATGTTTATAAAGACAACTTTACAAACTTATCGGTTGGTGCACCTGGACCTGATCTACTCAAACATTGTACAGAAATGATACAGAGAGCGACAGATCATCGACTGGTAAAAGATTAACATTCATTATACAGGTTGTCTATAGTTAAGCCCAGACAAACGCAGAGAATCAATTCTAGAACTAATTTCCAACAAAAAGTTCCTCTTAGATATTTTTCTAAATACCTCTTATTTTAGGAGTATTTTAACTTTTGATTTTTTTTCTGTGTTTTCGACTTTACACTTTTTAACTTTTTAACTCCATCAACTTACAGTGTAAAATTAAGACTAAATGTACCATTTGAAAAAGCATCTGGTATATTTAGTCTTAATTTTGCACTGTAAGTTGATGAAGTTATGGCAGTTTAAAAAGTGTGTAGTCGAAAACACAGAAAAAATATTAAGAGAAAATACTCCTAAAATAAGAGTATTTAGAAAAATGTCTAAGAGGAACTTTTTGTTGGAAATTAGTTGTAGAATTGATTCCCTGAATTTATCCAGACTTAACTGTAGACACCCTGTATATGTATTATCGAAACTTATCTCACCACATTAGAACGTATTCAAACATTTCTTGTAACTTCTACAACTTTTCCAAATTTATCAACAATTCATTAAATTGAGATACAAAAGTATTAAATGCATTAACATATTATGGTGACTCAAGCAATGTTATCATGTACTGACAAAATAGTATGAATGTTTTGAATATCTCAAGTTCATTAACATTAATTCTTTTTTTTTTTAATTTTCTACATTAGTTAAGTTTCTTAGAATTAAAATTTGTGTTATTAATGGTTTTTTCATCGATTAAAAGCTTCCTTTTTATTTGCTAAATTAATAATCTCCTGTTACATTACACTCAATAGTGCATTTACCATAGAAACAAAATTTTGTGTATCGTTAGCAAAGATATATTGTATAGAAGGCATATTACATCTTAGGAAGAAGAAAGGAAAGAGGGAAAGTATTATCTTTTTCAATATGGCATAACAGCAGGTCTGTGGGAGTGTCGCAAGGAACTGGCAATGTTCCTAACCAGGCAATATGGTGATCCAGTAAGCAGAGAAAATTTAATTTTAACCTGTGGAGCTTCGCACGGTCTTCAACTATTATTAAACACCATTGTTTCACCAAATGGAATAATTTTCGTAGAAGAAGTCACTTACATGATAGCCCTGGATGCTTTCAAACAATTTCCACTAATGAAAATAGTAACTGGTACAAATATCACATTGTTTTATGTAGGAGTATCAGGAATACTAAGTATTTTTATTCAATATTATGACAGAACTCTGTTTTTCGTCTGTTATTCGTAATAAGAAACATTAAAATGATGTCAAAATATGATTTAAATATAATAATAAGAACATATTTTTTTACTACAGTACCAATGAAAAATGATACTGTAGATGTAGATGCATTTGAAGAAATAGTCACAAAGGAGAAAAAAAATGGTAATTTCCTTCTCAGTGATGAGAAATTATTCTGGGCTATGTTTTATACTATTCCCACTTTCCACAATCCAACTGGTAGAACTTTACCACTAGGTAAACTATAAATTATATTTTCAGAAATTACAATGCATTTGGCTAATCATACGTTATGTTACTTTGTAATAGAAAGTTGCAAGCGTCTGATCGAAATAGCGAGGAACAATTCTATACTAGTTGTCTGCGATGATGTATATAACTTACTTTATTATGGAAACGGAAATCCGCCCCATCGACTGTTCTTTTATGACAACCTAGAGGATCCCAATTACAAAGGTGGCAATATTATATCAAATTGTTCATTTTCAAAGATTCTTTCACCAGCAATTCGCTTTGGATGGATTGAATGCCCTGCAAAAATAGCAAAGATTTTCAGATCATCGTAAGCTTATTCTCTATCTTAAGATAAGAATTGAAAAATGTGAAACAATTTTGTTTGACAACAGTTTTGATCTTGTTACCTTGTTCGATTTTTATGAATGCTTCACAATTTATAGAGGGATATTACGCAGTGGTGGTGCAGTTAATCACTACATTTCTGGTGTTATTACAAGTTTACTTCATCTAAAAATTGAAGACAAGTATCTTGATTACATTATTAATATTTATCGGGTGAGTTTAATTAATATTGTTTATTTAATTATATAGAACTCCTTGTAATTACACTCACATCCAAGTAATAATATTACACTTTTGTTCCATCTGCATTTTCTCATAAATTACAATCGTAAATTCACACTATATTATAAGTGGAACTTGATACTATTTATATATATTTAAAACTTGTTCTGAATATTAAAACATTTTATAAAGTACATTAAAGAAGTAAGAGTTGTATAAACAAAATAAACAACATATTTATTATGTACATGTAAATATTTTTTATGTAGGAACGATTATCAGTGCTATGTAATGTGTTGGATCAATATTTGCCAAAATGCTGTTCATACTACCGACCAGAAGGTGGTTACTTTGTATGGATTCATCTCCCACCAGGTATATATGCACTAAACACATCTGTTTTACCTAAAATTACTCATTATAAAAGACATCGGTATCAATGAAATGTAAACATTTTCTACAGGAATAAATGCTAATGATTTCATTAAATGGTGTCAAGAAAAACACAATATATCTGCAATACCAGGAGCACAATTTTCATACACAAAAAAATGTAATAATTTCATACGACTTAGCATAGGTTTTCACAACAAAGAAGCTTTAAAAACTGCTTCTACAACCCTTTGCAAGGTTCTCCTATATTACCTTGAAAATAATACTGAATATATGAAGAATTTGAACAATTAATTATTAAAATCACTTAAGTTAAAAGGAGAATAATTTATAGGTATATACACATTGGAAAAATCCACACAATTCTTATGTACATTTAAATTATAATAACAATTATTTTATAAGAGATCAAAACACTAATAAAAAAATAATATATTTTACTATAAGCACAAGAAAATATATTCTATTACTATCAATGTATTTTGAAATGCAATGTTATTACAAATTGTAAACAATGTTATACATTGTACCATTATTATATATTTTTTAATCCAACGCTTGATAAATATACACATGAAAACTAAAAATGACTATAGCGATTCACCCAAAAGTTCTTTTTGTTTTGTCTTCAATAAGTTTTCTGCTTTATCAATGTGTTCACGACTTATAGTACTTATATAACCTTCAATCTTGAAAGCTAAATCTGAAGGTACATTATTGTTTCTTTTCACTTTTTTTACGTACTTATTCCTCACATCGGTAATGTTATCTTTGCATTTTACAAAGTACGCTTTTGCTGTCTTCGCTAGTTTTTCTCTGTGTTCTCTTGTGACCCTATCGAATTATACAATGAAGTTAAAATAAATAACACAAACAATATCAGGAAACATTTCAAGTTAATATATGGTTCATTCTATTTTTACTATACTTACAAAGTATGTCATATGCAGTATTAATTGAACTTACTTAGGTATTGAAAGATATATCGTTGTACCCTGTTGTTGTGGATTTAAATTCATTTGAGATGTTGATAGTACCTTAACGATATCTGGAATTACTTGTGGAAATACATCCACATTCAATACTAATAAATTAGGTTGCCGACTAATCTTTACAAGTTCTTGAAGTTTATATTCACTTCCTTCGTGTTTTACAATTAAATCTTCAATAGCATCTGTACTTGTACGTAACCCCATGTATTTTACAATCTGATTTTTATACTCGTCAACCGCTTTGTTTAATTCAGACATCATATCTTCCACATTTATAACTTCAGCTATTTCATTTAAATCAACATGCACAGATTGCTGTAATTTTTTTTTATCTTTACCTCGATCTTTGCTTTTAAATAAGGCATGTGCTGTTGAAAAATTATTAAAGTTACTCAAATTGAGAGAGCGAAAAATAGAAAAATATATATTGGAAAAGCGATAGACAGCTAAAACGTTCGGTGAACGTACAAAATTATGTACGTTCATTACATGTTTAATTGAACAAATATCTAATTTTAAAATTCGAGGTCTTAAGAATATTTGTAAATTCATATTTAATTTTACCAAAGACCACATTTTCGAATTTCTTTATTCAACACATTTATATACATGCTTGTGACAATAATTTATATTGTAATAAACAATTTTATTATAACTACTCGCAACAAGAATTAAAATATATTTTAAGGTTAGTGTGCGCAAAGATAAACTGGCGCCACCAACGGAAAGTAGGTGAATTATTAGCAAGTAACACTGTGTGATACTGTGGCAGAGTGTTAACGTGTGGTTTGTTGTGTTTCATTCTACAGGGTGTCCCAAAAATGTTGGAGATCCTTGAAAAGGTGGTTTGGGGGGTGATTTGAAGCAACTTTTTCCTTAGCGAAAATATTGTCCGAGGCTTCGTTAAACAGATATTAACAAAAAACCCCAAACAGTCAGAGCGCGAGTATGCCGGTGGAGCGTAGGCTACGCGCTAAGCGGCTTCGCTCATATGCTACCGTGGGCGCTCCACCGGCATACTCGCGCTCTGATTGGTCAGTGTTTTCCGTTAATATCTCCTCAACGAAGCCTCGGACAACATTTTCGCTAAGGAGAAAATTGTTTCAAATCACCTCCCGAACCAACCCTTTCAAGGTGTTACAACATTTTTGGGACACCCTGTATTTTGTTCACGTTCCTCTGCGTAATATTATTTATTGAATATCTTTGAGTATTTCGCTAATCTTTGAAATCAGCAGGTACGTAAACATTTCTTTACTTTAATATTAGCAAAAGCAAAATAAAGTAATATGTGTGATTCTAATTATACTACGTTTTATTTCTGTTTGGATTTGGTATAGTTTCTTTTAGTACATATAACAGTATTTTGGATATTAGGACAAAAGAAGCGATACGAAATATAAAACGTTCATATAAAATGAAATGTAAAAGTAGTAACGGTTTCCTGTGTTCAGTGAGCAGTTGTAAAGAGAAATCGGAGACAAGTCAGTATCTCAGTTTTTTTCGCTTTCCATCTCAGCCAATAAGGTATCCATTGTTTAGCAATTGTTCATATTTACGTTTAATCATTCAATTATTTCTCAAATTATTGTAATATATATTTTAGAGCGAAAGCATGGGCTCAAGCATGTGGCAAGAAAAAGGATATGTCACCTACAAAGTTGTATTCTACTCATAGAGTGTGTTCCAAACATTTTGCTCCACACATGTTCTTAAACAATTTAAGGAATCGTTTACAACCACATGCAATTCCAGTCTTAAATATTGAAGAAAATGATACTACACCAACTGAAATCAATGGTAAATGATTCTGCATCATTCTGTATGATGTTGTTGTTGTTGTTGTTGTTGTTACTGAACTTAAAATGATGTTGTAGTACAAGCTTCACCAGATCATTGTGGGCAAGATACAAAACCAGACATGTGTAACCTTGTGCCTACATGTTCAATAACTAATTTGACAGGTAAATTACTTAATTTAAATTTGAGAAATTTACCTGTCAAATTAGTTTTAACAATGTTTTATTTTGCCTGTAATTTTAGGCATTAATGAACGCACAGAAAATGATAGTCATGTATCAAAACATGATAAAAGTGTTCAAGTTCAATTAGAAATAGCAGACTGTTGCTCGAGCAAAATAACAGCTCTGAAGAAAAAATGTGACGCTGCAGTAAAAAGAGCAAAGCGTGCAAAGATAAGAAGTAAAAAGGAAAAGACTCAAAAATACATGACGCTTGATGAATTGCATGATCTTATGTCTCAATTTTATCCCAAAACAATGATAGACTTTTTGAGAAACCAAGCAGCTAACCTGAAGAAAGAAGAATGGTGATAGATATATTGAAGAATTTAAAATGTTTCGTTTGACATTATACATAAAAGGACCAAAAGCTTATAGAGTATTATGGAATACTTTTATTTTGCCTTCAAAAAGAACACTGAAGAAGATGATTCAAAGTTTAATTATTTCTCCAGGTTTGAATGACATTGTGTTTGAATTTTTTTAAATAAAAACTACAAATTTAAAAGATTTAAATAGATATTGCTGTATAAGTATCGACACTGTCATTAAAACCCAGTTTACTCACTGTTTACAATTTATTAACGCACACATTACATATCACACTTTAAAATTTGTTGATACATTGTTAACTTCACGTAAGTGTAATGCAATTCATTTTGTTACTTTTTAAGCATTAAAATGTTATTACTAATCTTTTTAATTTACAATTCATTAATACAGATACTTGTTTACAGATGATTGAATTTTGTCCGGAACATCGTATTCAACAGAAATGAATTTTCCATGTAAGACGAATACTTTAAATTATAAGTCGTAAATTTTTCCAGGAAATGTTTGAATTATTAATGAAGAAATTACAATGTAATTTGACATATTGTACATACTTCAATTGTAGATAATCTAAGTGTAACTACGTTGATTATAAATAAAATAAAAGAATGGTACGTATTAGAAGTACAAAATTATTACAACATCTATGTAATATTATTACTTTCATTTCTCACTTAGTTTCATATGATTACTCGCATTACTTTTATGTTACACTTATAAATTTGTAGTATTTTAAACTTTGAATTTGTGTTACTTAGGAATCTGAATATTATTTTTACAATCTATAAAATATATTTTTTTTATAGATAAATATGGATAGAATGTTTTTTTACTAAAACACTATATTTTTTTAAATTCCAGCACTTATGTTCAGTGTTTTATACATACCGTCTGCAATTGCCTTTCTTTTTCTCTCAGTTTAAATATGCGCGCGATGCATACCAGAAACATGTCGGACCTCGGACACCAACATCAAAGGTGCCGACACGGAGTGACACTACTGGCAGTGTTGTAAGATGCGAAGATTTCCGACTGCAGCGCCGCCTGCGGTGGAGTAAGGAATCTCAGCTTATGACATCTCCGCTCTATAGAATAATATTCTTTGGTAGTTTCGTGCTATGCAAGTGTGAAGAATTGGAGATTTGTGGGGATCGACCTTTACGACTCCCCGAATAGTGGGGGAGAAACAATTGACGCGCGGGAGAATTGAAGACGGTAGAAACTGTTCAGAGAGAGTAGAAACTGAGACACGTGGAACGTCTGCCGGGAGAAATAAAGTTTTGTTGTGTTTAATAACGATTTCGTTATTCTACCTCTTTTTTTTTTTTACGTGAGGAAATGCGTTTACGCACGCCCCCTCATAAGGAGGGGGTAGTGTGGGACTCACCCCTTGATTTGATTTCAAGGGGAATACCCACTAAAACCTCACGGTGGCCGGCCACGGCGCATTGGGGAGGGGCACCGGGATCTCTTACGAACGCTACGTGTGCCCCCCGCAACGCAGGGAGGAGCGCCATCTCCGTTGGGGAGTAAATACCTCCCCACCTGACCGCGGGTGCCACAGCCCGCGGTCTCGCCTGTCCCTTTTAGTCGCTTCTTACGACAAGCAGGGATTACTGTGGGCGTATTCCATTGCCATTGACTCGTCCAGGGTGCAGAGCGCCCACATTGGTGACCCCGACGTGATCCGTCACGAGTTAGGACACCGACGCAGTTTAAAAAAAGGATCTAGCGTGCACGTGCACGCCGGCGTGTACGCTACAAGGGTCGGCAGAACAGCGATACAAAAATTCTGGAAGGCTGGTCGCTGGTCAGGGACTTCCTTTGGGAAACCATCGTCAACGGCGTGATCAAGGGCATCGAGCACCACATGACGAGGTCATCCTTTTGTACGCTTCGATAAAAAAGCTGAACGTCTCAAGCCATGGAGGAACAGCTACGGCAACTGCAGGAACGGATCCGGGAGCTGGAAATGGGAAATCAACCCGAAGCAGCCACGCCGTCCGTAAGTGTTGCAGCAGTGTATCGGCAGCCAAAAATCGCGAATTTTTACCGCGAAAACCCAGTGCTGTGGTTCCTCCAGGCGGAAGTCACATTGCGAAATGCGGGAATTACTGTATCTGCGACCAAAGCGGACTGTATTTCGGAAAAATTAGACATGGAGGCTCTTCAAGCCGTCCAAGATTTGCTAATCACGGAACCGAAACCAAAAAAAATTTATGAACTAATTAAGCCGCGTTTAATTTCCACATTCGGTAGTTCCAGTGAATCGCGCTTGCGTCAGTTAATCAAGGGTCAGGTTTCAACGCTCGGAAAACCCTCGCTGATTCTCACACGTCTGCGTGCTCTGGACTCAGGTTGTGCGACATTATTCGCACGGTTTTCTTAGATCAACTTCCGGCTCCGTGCCGAGCAGCGTTATCGGTCTCAGAGGAAAAAAATTTAAATAAATTAGCAGAAATAGCCGACAAGTACGTGGAGGTCCTCGAAATGGATCAGAACCAGATGTCAGTGGTCAATTCAGAGGGATCTTCGACCCTCGAACAGCTTATTGCGGAGGTGCGTAAATTGTCTGTTACTGTGCCCGACAGGTACCTGATACCGCACTTACATGACTTTTCGTTCAATTTGAGGGGAAAAACTATATTTTCCAAAATAGATCTCCTCAAAGCGTACCACCAAATTCCGGTCGCGCCTGAGGATATTCCAAAAACCGCGGTGATAACACCGTTTGGTCTTTTCGAATATACAACTATGCCCTTTGGGGTCCGAAATTCGAGTCAGTCTTTCCAACGATATATTAACCGCGCACTCATAGACCTAGACTTCGCGTTCTCATACATCGATGATATCCTCGTAGCTTCCTCCTCTCTTGAGGAGCACGAAATTCATCTGCGAATAGTTTTAGAACGATTAAAGGAATTTTCCTTACGCATAAACCCAGCGAAGTGTGAGTTCGGGAAAAAAGAATTAACCTTCCTAGGTTACTTGGTAGATCGGGAGGGATTCAGGCCGACGGCAGATAAGATAAAAGCAGTTTTAAAATTTCCAAAACCCCAGACGATCGTGGAATTGCGTAGATTCCTTAGGGATGGTAAATCAGTATCGCCGTGGTTTACAAAATGCCGCGAAAACTCAAGCGCCACTCCACAGGAATATACAAGGTTCCAAAAAGAACGATAAGCGCGAAATCCAATGGGAACCTGAAATGGAAAAAGTGTTTCTCAAAATCAAAGAGGAATTAGACAATGCGACACTGCTGAGTCATCCTGCACCTGACGCGAAAACCCGTGTCGTCACGGACGCATCCGACTTCACTATGGGCGCAGCCCTGGAGCAATATTTAGATGGTTCATGGAAACCGTTAGGCTTTTTTTCTAAAAAGTTTAGCTCCGCGCAATTAAATTACAGTGCGTATGACCGGGAGTTGACGGCGATGTACGAAGCGGTCAAGCACTTCAAACATTTTGTAGAAGGTACAGAGTTCAAGATCGCGACCTACCATAACCCTCTGACATATGCCTTTCGTCAGCGTGCGGACAAAGCATCCCCGCGACAGCGACGACAATTATCGTTTATCTCACAATTCACTACTTGCGTTGAATATATACCAGGTTCCAAAAACGTAGTAGCTGATCCGTTATCCCGAATCGAGTCCGTTCGTTTACCGCTAGAATTTGATCTCGTGGAAATGTCGGAACTTCAGAAAACCGATCCGGAATTAAAAACAATTATAAAATCGTCAGAACATTCACTAGTATTAAAAAGTATAGAATATAGTTTTCACTAACTAAGAACGCGTGTTTCTCAAACAAGAAGATATTTTTAACTGAAAAACAAATGATCAACACCGAGCTACGAAATTAGTTGGATACAGTATCGCATAAGTATCTTCCTAGCAGATACGTATCGCATACGCGTATTGCGATACGCGTATCGTCATGTGAAAGAGCTCTTAGAATCAACACCTCGGCTGGTTAATATACCTACATACATTGTATGTGTAACCAAATGTTTCGATCAGCTTCGAATCTGTCCAAAGGTTGAAAGCGTCGAGGAAGTAGAAAGAGACAGTTTGATAAAGAAGAAAGAGACAGTTTGATAAAGAAGAAAGAGAGACTGACAAGGGAACGGGCCCAAGTATGATGCTAATTTTTTGATGAACCTTTGCATAGTGGAAAACTGAAGCGAATGATATTCAGTTTTGGGGGTAGACGATTTATAGTTTACGTCGTAAACTTAACGAGATATTCAACATTGAAGTTATTATTGGTGCTTACTTGGTGAATTATAAGCGACTCTATCAACAGCGAATTCGGCGTGATCAGTAAAAGCATCAGCATAATAATTTCTCTGTCGCGAGTTCGAGTCCCGTTGAAACGTTCTTACACTATTCTTTTTTTTTCATTTTCTTTTAAAAATATATTCGTTAAATATGACTTATTTATAACTAATGTTCGGATATATTTTTTAAAACAAACAATTTCCATTTTGAATGTATGATGTACATGAACTTGGGTGATAATTTTTGAAAAAGCAGTGGAAACAAAAATTTTAATCACCATGTACATCGAATGAATGCTTTAGATTCACAACTGCAAAATTGTTTATTTAATTCTACTGGGAATAACGCTTGATTTACGTTAATGATATGTACTCGATTTTTGGGTAGCCATTATGCGTACCAAGCATATCTATGTAGAATAGAGATAAATATATTGAAATTCATTATACAAATAGAAACAAGAAGAAACAACAGCAATGTCTCGAAATAAGTAACTCGATCGGGACCGGCGAGTTGCTTATTTCGAAACAGGTATGGTATTCGGCTTGACCGTTCTCGAGCGTGACGAGGAGGAACCCGTAGACAAAACAGGGGGTTTGGTGTAGCGGCAAACTATAAAGTATAAAGTGATCGCTCGAGCACGAGTGTTATACTTTGGAGAATGATAGAAGATAACATGCTTTCTCATTTTAGCACTAGTAAAATGGAACGAATAAAACGTACATGACAACTAACAGTAGTATTCCGGAGAATACACACGCCAGAGAAAGAGAAAACATTACACACATTCTGTCCTCTTTACGCTTGGATTCTGTGCTATCAATGACTATTTCTTCAAAACAACTTGCACGCACAGAATCACTATCCATTTTCAAACTTTCAAACCTTCCTTCATGTGACTGTCACGATAAAACGAAATAAACTTTCGATCAAACATAAAAATCGTTGTAAAGACTTACTGACCTACAGCAAGTAGGTATTCCGGCATGATATGTTACGTTAAAAAATTAATTTTGACCTTAAAATATGCGTAAGGTAATATATAATATGCAGTATATAGTACATGATATCCAAAAAATATATTTCTGATAGAAAATTGAAAAAAAAAATACATCAATCGGGATTCGTACCCGGGGTCAAGCAGAGTTACAACCTAATACTCTGTCAATACATTCAACAAACCTTGCTAGATGCTTTTATTGTACATCGAAAACAAACACCCATTCTGAAAAAAGCCAAAATGGTTTTGCAGTACTACATGCGTACTACGACCCCCATAGGGTGTCGTTGCAAAAGCGATTGCAACATCCGTGCCTTCCCTTTGTTAGT